CTTGTGAATGAAGATTTTTTTCTCTGTTCTAAATGACTACCGCTTAATCTAATATACTAATGTTAACTGGTTCTTTTAAAAATATATAAATTTCAGTACCTGATCCACGTCTTTGCTTAAAATCTAATCAGCTGTTCCCTGGATTTGGATGAATACCATTGTTGTTATACTCGTGTTGGAGTTGATGCATGATGGGAAAAGATACACTCCTCAGGCTTGTAGTTATCTCTGAGCCCTTGAATCAAGCACTAGCAAAAGTAGGAAAGTGTTCAATTTACAGCCCAACAGTCCTTAATTGATAAAGATAATGTTTATAGTAAAATACTGTCAATATACACGTGTTGCTAAATCATGTCCATAGATGTTAAGAAGTGGTTATCTACACATTTGCTGGTGTCTTCAAGTCTGTATTAATGCATGGTGGTTCAAAGTAGCCTCTTTGAGATATGTGACATTGTGATTTAGGGGAAAAAGAAATATTGCCTGCTGTCACTTTCTTAGGTGAATTCCATGACCCATCATGGGAGTGATCTCCATTATGTCATGGGACATTCTATATAAAAAAAAACTGCTAGTCCTTAATCGGCTGTTTTAAAAACAGGAACAAAACAGATTTGGTAGCTTTTTATAAATTTCTTCACTGTTATTTAAAAGAACGTTATTCTATTTATGACCTTGTTAAAATCACACATGATTTAATGTCTAGTCTTTATTTGAATTTCTTGTAACTTGCATATCTTTCAGAAATTAATTGCTGAGGTATTTTGGTTTGGGACCGCAAATAAGGAAGGCATCTACTACTTGATCCCATTTGTTAATGACAATATGCAATTTTATGTTGTGTATTGTTTTTGATATTTTTCTGATGACATTGAAGGATGTAGTTATATTGTCTCTTCTGGGTGTCTTTTGCACCTGCTGAAGTGTAGCAGTATAACTGCACAGAGAAAATCTGAAACTTCCTTTGGGAGGTGGTCCTGTACTGTTTGGTTTGCAAACTGCCTAGATTATTATTACTGTGTTGTGTCATACAGGGTTTTAGAAAGTTCCTTTGGCACTTTATAAATTCATGTAGTTAATTCATATGTTTTGAAATTGCCAAAATTCCTGCCTGCTCTCTTAAAGTATTGGGGGAGCTAATGTTGGAGAACAGATCTCAGTTCTGTACACTCTTACACATACAGATACAATCTCCAAACCTTGAAGCTGATTCAGTGTAGAATGCAAATCAGTGGGAAGGTAATGCTTTAACTGCTGGTCTTTCTTAACTGCAGTAAAGTATACACTAAAATAACTTTATCCTTCATTCAGTCTGTGTATATTGAAGCAATATTCTGTTTTACACTCATAAATTTGAGCATTGTATTCTTACTTATTAGATATATGTTTTAATTTCTGTTAAGTTATCTTTATAAACTAATAATTCCATTATTCAATTCATCATGTAAAACATCTGTACAATGTACGAGATCATTACAAGATTACCGATCACAACATTTCCTCAGTGCTTTTTAAATGACTGTTTCTGGCTTTACAGTCATTAATATTTCCTGTAATGAATAAATTCATTAAACATTAGTTTGTATTAACTAGTTAGTGATTTTAATCAGTCTGTTTGGAAGTTATGAAACACCTCCAAGGCAGGTGGGCTTTGAACCTGGACCTCCTGACCCAGAAGTAGGGACATTACAACTGCACAATAGCCCTATTAAGTAGTCGATTACATTTTTAATCAACGTATGCAGACATGTTATGACACACCTCTGCAGCAAGTAGAACTTGAACTTGGGCCTTCTGGCCCAGAGGTGTCACAAGAGGCCCCTATTAATTAGAAGCTGAGTTTGATCACTGACTAGTGACAAGTGACTAGTATTGTTTCTATGTTATATGCTGTAGGAACAGAGGGACCTGTGTCTTTATGTGCGCAGATTATATCAGAATTGGCAGGACAGGTGGAGACAGCAGTAAATAAAGCCTACAGTGTCCAGGGTTTTATTAATGGGGCAAAGAGTGCAAGAGCAAAGAGGTGACGGTGAACCTGTAAAAGACACTTGTTAGACCTCAGCTGGAGTATTTTGTACAGTTGTGGTCACGATGTTATAGAAGGGTTGTGAATGCATTAGAGGGAGAGCACAGAATAGATTTACAAGAATGGTTATAGGAATGAGAAACTTTAGTTATGATGAGTGATTTGGAGAATTTGGGATCATTCTTGGAGAGAAGGTGGCCAAGAGGAGAGATGATTGAAGTTTCAAAATCATAAGGTGGCTCGATACAGTAGATTGGGGAAAACTGTTCTGCTTTTAAATGGATAAAAAACAAGATGACACAGATTTAAAATGATTTGTAAAAGAAACAAAAGTGATGTGAGAACAAAGTCTTTTTTTCACATGAGTAGTATGAGTTTGGAATGCACTAGCTGGAAGAATGGGAGATACAGTTTCAATTGAGGCTTTCGAGAGGGTACTGAATGATTATTTAAGTGGGGTCAAGGTGCAATGATATAGGGAAAAGTGGGAGAATAGCAGCAAATCATGCTCATTTGGAGAGCCAGTGCAGACATGACTGTTGCATGGCCCCTTTCCATGCTGTCACACTTCTGTGAAGCGGCAGTTGGATTGATGCTTTTTTAATAAAAGATATTTTGTTGATATAATGACTGGACCACTTGCCTCTGTCTGTGAACAGGTTTTCCTGTGTAATGTTTTAAGAAAGCAATGAATTTCGAGTGTGGTACATAGATTATTTAAAAAGTGAGGGTGTATTGGTGTTATTTTGGATGTTATGCTGTCTTTGGTTTCTGTAGAATTTTATTTGAAATGCACATATGAAACTTTTTTTCTTCAGTTTTTGTAATGTACATGAACTAGAAGAATGCCTTTTTTCAGTTTTGATTTATTCAAACCTTTTGCAACTTTTACAGCAAAGCAGTGGAGCAAGATTCGCAACGAAGCCATTTTCCAATCACAGCTCAGTTGTTGAATCACTGAGTGAGCTGGTTTTACGCACTGAATATGGGGTGTCGGAATCAAATCCTCATCTATAGGATAAGAAGTGAGACATACACTAAGTACATGGACAGCAGGAGAGAAAATGACCTGGGAAAAGATGAAGAGATTAGAGGTCAAAAAATATTGGATTAAAACTGAAATATGAAATTAAATTATCAAGGAGCATAAAACCAAACAGCAAAATATTTTATTGGCGCATAAATAAAGTCAGAATAGGTGCTGAGTCACTTGGGACAATGTCACAGACAATCATAAAGAAATGGTGGAACTATTAGATAGTGACTCATATTCACTATTTACTAGTGAACAAGGCAAGTTGACATAACATCGGTTGGTGAGATTAGAAATGAGAACTGTTTAAAATAAAAATATGAAATATTAAATAAAGTGATCATACGGACAGATAAAACCCTGGTTTGGATGGCATGCATTCACACTTTTTAAAATAACCTAGAGGATGCTGGAGGCATTACTACATATTTTTAATAAATGGTTTGAAAAAAAAAGTGTCAGAAGGCTGGCAGATAGCAAATGTTAGCTGTACTTAGGAAGGGAAATAAAACATGCCCAGTGAAGTATAAACTAGTCAGCTTAACACTGGGAGGAAAATACTGAACCTTTACTAAAGGAGAGAATTGAAGAATGTCTGGATACAATAATAAATAACAAGTGAATTTTCAAAGAGCAAATGTTGCTTGACCAATTTCATTGAATATTTCAAGCAGAAATGGAATGTGTTAACAGGGTAATACTATAGATATATTTTATCTAGATTTCAAAAGGCCATTGAAGTATATAATAGACTAATGAATAAAGTCAAAGAATGCAGAGTTAGAGAGTAGCAGTGTGGGTTACTAGCTAGATAGAAAAAGAATATAGATAAAGAGTAGTTACTCAACTTGACATAGATGGAAAATGATGGTTCACAATCAATTGTAGGATTACTATTTACAATTAGTAGTTGCAATCTAGACTTTGGGATCAAAAAACACTTTCTAAATTTGTAATAATACTGAATTGAGGGCATTCTCGATACAGAGGAGGATCGTAACAAAATACAAAAAGATATTAAGAAATTTTTGGAATTGACATTGGCAATTTTAAGCATAGATGTATGTGACGCCTTGCGTTTTGGCTAGGAAAAATGTAGAAGTTGTATATTATTTGGGAAGAATTCAAATAGGATGGAGGAGCAAAAGGATCTGAAGACAAAGAATAGTGACAAGTTAACAAGTTAATTTTTTTAAAAAATCAAAAAATGTTGGGGTTTACTTTAAGAAAGAGAATTGAGAGGTGAAGAATGTGTGGTAAATTTGCATTGAACTAAGTTAGACCATGCCTGGAGAACTGCATAAAATTCTAGCTATGATTTCACCCTGACACTGAGATAATTCCAATATTGAATTCTTCCACTTATGCTCCATTGTGGACCCTCTGAGTGAGCATGATGGCATTCTTCAAAAACATAAGCTGTTTTGTGCTGCTGCATGAGTATCCACCAGCTTGGGTCAAGTTAATTTTATGTAGGATCTGTCTCTTGAATTCCAGCGAAGAAACTTCACTGTGTTAGATATGTAGGTGTTGCCTAGGGATGAAGGTACAGTGCGGTAATCTCCTGTACAGCTCACTCTTGCAAAATAAAAAGGTAATCAGGGATTCAATGGGATTGAAACCATGACAGTGATTTATATTGTTTCACATAAAACAATTTTTTTTGTTTTTTGAATCAGTGGACTTTAAGGTTTGGGTATGAACCCTTATGTACTTCAAGCAGAGACTAACCCGCTGATTACTGTAATTTTGTTTGCCAGCATATATAATACATTGTGCTTTTGTTGCCCACTGTTCATTAACTGATGAAGTGTGAAGTTTCTGCTGTACTTTGGAGACAGTAAGTCTATCTTACTGCTGTGTTTAGATTTTAATTATATTTCAGGTTTGTCATTGACTTTTGGATTTGTTGTAAATACTTATTTTATTTTCCTGCAGGTTTTAGGAGAGGCAGCGACCCAGGCATGCCAGAACCTAGTCTTCTAAGGTAGATATCTGTAATTGTCAAGGCCACTTGATATAATGTACAAATTGTTATCTGCACAGCCCCCAGCAACCCCTGAAATCTGTGTTGGTGAAGCACAAATCAGCCTCTTTAAGCTGTTGCTTGTGCACACTATATAAAAAGATTCAAGGGGCTTTTGCATTTAAAAGAATGGCCATGCATTGCAAAAAAAAATTATAACATTAGTATGTATTTATCATGTACGTAGGAATACTAAATTTTCAATAAAGTGGCAAAATGTTGTAGTTGCATGGGTTATACTTTTGGAATGGTTAAAAAGTTGTTTTATACCTGCACTTCTCCTTGCAGTGATTTTTCAATCCTACTGAGTGTCTGGAGGAGATGCTGATTAGAAGTTCTTACTCAATTACCAGTCTCAAGTCTGTACAGGTTATAACAGACGTAATAGCTAGTTTCTCTATCCAGTGCTTAACTGTAACAAATTTATCATTAAGTTTACAAACTGCTAATGTATCAATTCTCCAACATGGCAACGGTCTATTGGGCTCAGCTGTTCAATTTATTCTATACATAAGCCTCCTACCAACTATCCTGTTCTAACCTGAGCAGCAGCATACTCTCCTATTCCTTTTCCCTTTATGTTTAGCTAATTCCCCTTAAGTTCATTGCCACCTGCCTCACTACTCCTTGAATCATATTCCACATTATCATCGCTCTGGGTAGAGAGTCGGTTTGTTTAAGCTCCTCATGGGATTTATTTCTGATTTGTGGTCCTTGGTTTGCTCTATCTGAGAAGCAGAAACATCTTCACCATGTAAACACTAATCTTGAGACTGCTGTCGGTGACACTACTGACACCCACCCTCCCTTTTTGGCTTTCTAGCCTGTTGAGTATTTTGTAGTAATTACAGTCACTTGCATCAAATTTAAATGTTAATTTTTTAAATAAGTGAAAAACATATTTCTGTTGCCATTTAGAAGAAATTAATTTTGTCCTGTCTGTCTGCATGATTGTCTAATTAGATGTCAGTTGCCAGGACTTGTTTATTTTTGTTCATCTTTTTTAGTTTCTTTTCCCTCTTCCTCTTTGGTTTTTAGTGTGGCTTTTTGCAAGTAGAGTTCTTGTCCCTTCAGTGTATGAACTAATTCTGCATCATATTAACGTTCTCTTTTGAACATGTCCCACTGATCGTCTGTCGTATTACCTATTAGCAAACTTGCCTACTTTACTGTGCACAATCTCCATCTCATTATATTAGAGTTGGCCTCACCTAGATCTTGAATTTTAGTATGTTTTAAGTTTCTTCCTGTAGAACACTATTCTGAGTTTGATATTATGCTTGTTGCTTGGTAAGTGTTCACACATTGTAATGTTGTTATTTAAAATTAACAAAACCAAATTTGTGTGTGGAATGACTCTTGTTAGTTTTAGCAACAATATGTCTTAGAACTTCCATGGCACATTCTCAAGAAGTTTACTTTGATTTCTGCTGGCCTGTTTATTCTAATCACCATGAAAGTTAATGTTCCAATTAAAATCTCTCTGCCTGTTCTAATGCCTGTCTATTCTCTGCATTTATTTTTGTCATACCCTCCAAGTTGAATTTATGCCAGTAGGTCATTCAATCTCTTCCTTGTATTTCCTGCATTGTGTAAAGAGTGCTCATTTGGGACAATTTCTAACTAGTCCTTATAGCTGTAATGTTTTACTAACACGTCTCTTATTTTTGGTTTAATCACTTCATTCCTTCTTCTCTTGTCTTTATCTGTGACCACTAAATCTCAATTGCTGACTGTTTCTGCATAATCTCCCCTGTTGATTATTTTTGATATATTATTTGTATTACGATTGTTTTAAGGACGAAAATATCACTGATATCACAATTCCATAACTTCTTACTTAACTGACTCTTTCTTTCTAGTTCTCCTTGGACAACTGAGATGGTTTTATGACTTATTTTCCATTCTGGTAGCCCAAATGTCCTTTCAGTTCAGACAACTTGAACGAGCTTTCATCAACTTGAAAACTTCTGTACAAATTCTCACAGTTTGTACACTTCACAAATTAAAACTCTTTTGCTAGTGTGAAAATTGTTTTCCTAATCTGAAAACGTGGCTTGTTTACTTTTTATTCTAATCTGAACTCCTGATTCTTTTGAACTGAATTCTGAACTAGTGGCCCTGGTCTGTTTTTACCATTGTGGTGAACTCAGCTGCATAAACATTTTGTCAATTAACACCACAAGTATCCTTAACTGAATCATGTGTTTTCTTGAAAATCATATATTTAAGTTACTATAACAGTTGACTTTGATATTTTTTGAAAAACATTACCCTTAGAGAGTTGAAATCAAAATTCAAACTCCAAATGATAATGTTATGTCTTTATCACTGAATTAACCTTATATGTATTGCTGTTAAGCTAACTTGTTTTGACAGTATTTGTCCCATTATGTAGTTGACAAGCTATCTTGAGGAGTGGTTGAATCTGTAAAAACACTTGTCATAAAATGGATTACTCCAATAATGTGAGCAAATGACACAAAAAGCAGGATATTATTTCAGTAGATGATTACTGCAGAATTTCAAGCTGCAGAGACATTTAAGTGTTTTTGTGGCATGAATCACAAAAGGTTAGTATGTGTAATAGAATATTGGTCTTTATCTCAAAGGGTATAAAATGCAAAATATTACTAAAATTATTCAAGGCACTTGTTAGACCAGACCTGGAATACTGTGAATAGTTTTGGTCCCCTCATCTAAAGAAAGATTTACAGGTTTTAGAAGCAGTCAGTAGAAGGTTTACTAGATTGTTCCCAGGTGTGGAGGAATTGTCTTATGAGGAGAAGTTGAGTAGGTTATGTATGTACTTATTGAGGTATAGAAGAATGAGGTGACTTTATTGAAGTATGCAAGATTCTTAATAACACGTGACAGTATGGATGCGGAATGGTTGTTTCCCATTGTGGGAGAGTCAAGACCCAGAAGGCATAATCTCAAAATAAGGGATGAGGAGGAATTTCATCTGAACGTCGTGATTCTGTGGAACTTTTTTTTACAACAGAATGTTGTAGACACTGGGCTAGGTATATTCAAGGTTGAAATTTTTAGTTAGTGAGGGAATCAAGGTTGTGGGGAAAATGCAGGAAAGTGGAGTTGAGGATTATCACATCTGCCATGATCTCATTGAATAGCGGATCAGACAATGGGCTGAATGGCCTATTTATACACCTATATTTTACAGTAATCTGGAAGATTAATGGATTCTATCCTTTGATATGAGAGGAAGTGAACATAAATGTAAGGATATTATTATGCTTCAGCTGTCCAGGCCATTGCTTAGACCACATTTTAAATACTGTGTGCAGTTTTGGTCTCCTCAGTTAATGTAAATGTGTTGGAGGTGGTTCAGAGGGGCTTAGATTGAGGCCTCAGATGAATCTTATGATGATAGATTGGTGGTTGTAGGCTTATTTCCACTGGAGTTTAGAACAGTGAGGGGTGACTTGATTGAGGTGTAAAAGATCCTGACTTATATTGACAAGTTGGACATGGTAAGGATGTTTCTTCTTGAGGGTCAGTTCAGAACTAGGGACCACTGTTTTAAAATTAGGGACTTCTCTTTCAGGACAGAGATGAGGATACTTTTTTTGATATGCTTGCTTTTCCCTGCATTGGAAAGCAGTGAGTTGGGGTCAGTAAATATTTTTAAGACAGAAGTGGATGGATTCTTGTGAGGCAAAGGGTCCAAAGGTTGAGGGGTAGCTGGGAGTGTGAAACTGGAACACAAACAGATAGCTATGAACTTATTGAATGGTGGAGCAGGCTTGAGAGGCCGAAGGGTCTATTTCTGCTCCTATTTTGTATGTTCGTATGTCAGTTGGCCTGAAACGTAATTGGTTGAAAACGTCTGAACTTGTACTTAGCCACTTAACTGCCATTTCATAACAAATAGGACTTCTCTAAGAATGTAGATTTAATATATAAAAGCAAGTTTTAAAATTAATGTTAAATGAGTCTTGAGAGAGTATGTGCCAAGATCCAAAGAAAACTGAGTGATGGGACAAAGTAGGGAAACACTTCATCTTATCATTTTTAATTATCTATTTTAATTTTGCTATTACAGTAATAAAGCGATTCTTGTCAGGGGATTTTACTGAAGAGTATAAACCAAAAATTTTTAAGCAAAAAAATTCCCTGGATCTCCTGACAATTACATTTGTAAATTATGGGTGTATTGAGCACCCATGTCTATTAATAAGTATTATGTTGTTTGTATTAATTATATAAAACTGCAGATTTTTGATGGATGTCCAAAAGCCACATGATGCTGCAAAGAAGATAACCTGTTGGACCATGTGCATGGGGGAACACAAAGTTGTCTGCTGGACGAGGCAAACCTGAATGAAATTAACTGTGGTTTCTCCTCAATCTCTTTTCTAAAAGGTTTACTGTGACCACTGCTTCTGGACTCTCCCACATTGGGCACATCATTCCTGCATCTGTGTAGAATTGTTTGAATTTTATAAGCTTCTATGAGATTCCTCATCTCCTATCATTCTTCTAAATTCCAGTGAATCCTAACTGACTCAACTTCCCTTCATAAGTCAGTCCTGTCATCCCAGGAATCAATTTGGTAAACCTTTGCTGCACTTCCTCCATAACAAGAACATCTTTCCTCAGATAAGGAGACCAAAACTACACACAATTCCAGGTGTGACCTCAACAACGCGCTGTATAATTGCAATAAGACATCCTTGTTCCTGTACTTGAATCCTCGCACTACGAAGGCTAACATGCACTTTGTCTTCTTTACTGCGGGCCGTACTTGCCCGTTTACTTTCAGCGACTGCTTCACAAGGATGACCAGGTCTCATTGAATATTTCCCTCTCTTGACGTACAGCCATTCACATAACAATCTGTTTTCCTATTTTTTGCTACCAAAGTGGATAACTCACTCTTATCCATATCATACTATATCTGCCATACATATTGCACATTCACTCAGCCTATCCAAGTCACACTGCAATATCTCTACATACTCCTTGCAGCTCCAACTTCCACCTAACTTTGTGTCATCTGCAAATTTTGAGACATTATATATGGTTCCATAATCTAAATTATAACCATGTATTGTGAATAGCAGGGGTCCTATTTTGTACGTTTGACTTTCCACACTGGACTTTCTCTGAAACCATAGAGCAGAAACTAAATACATCACTATGGAATAAAAACAAAGGGATAATTCTGTGGAGATGCTTCAGTGTAGTGTGAAAAACTTTTGGGAGAAAAGCAGTCTTGTTTGGGACATGTGCAGGGACAGGAAAAAATGCTACAATCTGAATGTGTTTTATTTTTATATATCTGTTGTATTTGCTTAAAACATTAGATAATTTTGTTTTGAGGTTGCAGGTTGGCCTTTTTATATTGATTTCAGTTGAATGCCCTCAGACATAAAAATGGAAATATCAATTAATTGATCAATTGTTCTGTGACTTATAAGTTATACGGCACAACTTGAGCAGAGTGGGCCAGATGTTAAGCTTTGTCTTCCCACAGCCATGTCTGTGCTCCTGACCTCATTCTGAAGAATTTTTTTGATGTTATTTCTCCTGTGGAGTAGGGATGAATTGTGCAATTAACAGTCATGACCTGCTGATCTGAAGTAAAACAGTGGGCTGAAATGATCAGATGCTAATTGCTTCATTCTAATGGCAGTTAACTCAATAATAAGATATCCAGTTTTTCAAGCCTATTCTGCCATTCAGTTAATCGTGGCTGAGCTGTATCTCAATTGCAGTCAGCTGCCTTGGTTTCATATACTTTAATACCCTTAGCTAAAACAAAGCTTAGCACAATTTTCAATTGGCCTACCTCCACACCTTTAGAACAAAATTCAAGTTTAATTTGTTTGCCTTTATCTTTAGATTTCCTTGCTCTTCTATCTCATTTGCGTTCTTATTTACAAAGGTGCAGCAGATGTTTCTATTTTTCTTACCAAAGTGCATCATCTCACATGTAGCTGTTAAAGTTAATTTGCCACATAACTGCCTAGTCTGTAAGTTTTCTAATGTCCTTTTGTTTCATTCTTCTGTTAGCTATACTGCCAATTGATATTGTATTACTTGTTCCTGAGTTCAAATCATTAATCTTAATTGAAAAGAACTGTCCCTGCACCTCTCTTTTGTGGAGCTCTACTTTCTACCTTCCCACCTGAAAAATTGTACGATTTACACTTGCTCTCTGCTTTCTGTATTGTAAGCCAATTTGCTATCTGTTCAGTTATTTGACAAATACTCCAGATGTCTCCTAACCATTGTCTTGTAACTATTAATAAAAGGTCACGTATCCAGTCCTACATGACTGGGCTTCATTACAGTTGTTTCATCAGAACAGTCTGTTTATTTGTGTACAATTTAGTTTCATTCATAATTTTTTACACTAAAGTATTAGAATTCTTGTAAATTAATAATCTGCATTTTTGATTTTTAGTTTGCTGTGGGGATGAAAACAGTACAGAAGATCTACATTTCCATTTTGAATTGAAGCACTCTGAGGAAAATTGGGAAGAAGAGACCATTGCAGTTGGATGGTTCAATGCCTGTGTTCACTATTTTACTGATCTATAGTAATAGAATTTCCAGTGGGATAGTTACGGACTGTCTTGTTTTCCTATATAAAAGAATTAGCTGCATTTGTGGCTGCAGTGTTTCAGTTTATGTAACCTATTACAAGTAATATTTTTTATTGGGAAGGAAAAAAAGAGAAACCTTGTCCAAAAATGGCCGGATAAAATTTGCATCATGCATGTCTGTTGGTTTCCTTGGTTTAAAAGCTAAATAAGCACATCTTCAAAATGTGAAGCTAAGCTGTATAAACCTGCATACAGTGAAGAATCTAACTATTGAGTTTTTAACATAATGGATTTAATTCTAGAGTACTAATTCCTCGATATACTTTATTTAAAAGTGTTGTAATTTTCAAATTCATGACGTACTTTATAAATTTTGCTTTGAGATTTGACAATTGCAATGGAAATGTGAAATGGATATTTGTCAGTTCGATTACTTTTCATTAAACCGACAATAAACTCATTGATCTTGTGTAACTGATTGTACAAAAAGCATTTTTGTGATAACCTAAAGCATATTGGTTTCCTTTCCAGACATAGTGTAATTTATTACACTGTTTTATAATAATGTTAGTAGCAAAAGTCTTGGAGAAACCTAGAGCAGTTTTACCATTTTGGGGCCGAATGAAAATTATTCTTGTACACCCCACCTAATATGGATGGACACAGTATTTGGAAAGGAACTTCAGTAGGGAGTGGGAGAAAGAGGTCACGATCTGGAATTACTTCTTTAATTAGGTCAGGTAGATGGGCTGTGCTAAATTGTCCATTGTGTCCAGGGAATGTGCAGACTAAATGGGTTAGCCGTGGCGAATGCAGGTAACAGGGATAGGGTATGCGGATGGGTCTGAGTGGGATTTTCCTTGGAGGGTTGGTGTGGACTCGATGGGCTGAATGGCCTGCCACATTGTGGGCAATCTATGATTCTATGCTTCACACTCCTCCCCTGTTCTGACTTTCAGCAGCTCAACAGCAAACCAAACACTAGGTTTCCACGTAGCTCCTACTCCTTTTCAAGGATGGTGTTGAGCTTTAGCCTCTGTAATTAGATGTTCCGTACTTAGTGGCATACAGAATAATTGAAAGATGATCATGAATCCAGCAGCTTGGTTTTAAGTAGTGCCCTTAACCTGCTAAAACATTCCAAGAGGCTTTGAAGGAATATTATTAAATACATTAATACCAAGCCATGTAAGGAGATACAAGGATAATGGATCAAACGTTTGGCCAAAGGCCAAGGTTTTGCAAAGTATTTTAGAAGAGTGGTAGGAAATTAGAGAGGTTAGGGAGGGAATTCCAGAGCTTAGGACCGAGGTCTCCAGGCAATGGTGAAGTGATTAAAATTGGCACTGTGCAAGAATCAATGGAAAAATGAAAACCTGATCAGGAGATAATTCTTTTTGAATTACCAAACTTGGCATTTCAAAAATGGACACAGACTACAAATAATATGAATATTATAAGAGTCATAGAGATGTACAGAACAGAAACAGATCCTCTGGTACAACTCATCCATGCCGACTAGATATCTTAAATTAATCTAGTCCCATTTGGCCCGTATCCCTCAAAACCCTTCCTATTCATATATTCATCCAGGTGCCTTTTAAATGTTGTAATTGTATCTGCCTCCATTTCTTCCTCTGGCAGTTCATCCCATATTCGCAGCACACTCTGCATGAAAAAGTTGTTCCTTAGGTCCCTTTTTAAATCTTTCCCCTTTCACCTTAAACCAATGTCCTCTAGTTTTGGACTCCCCTACCCTGGGGAAAAGACCTTGACTATTCACCTTATCCATGCCCCTCAAAATTTTATAAGCATCTCTGGCACCCCTCAGCCTCTGATGCTCCAGAGAAAATAGCTCCAGCCTATTCATCCTGTCCCTATAGCTCAAAACCTCCAAACGTGGCAACATTCTTTTCTGAACCCTTTCAAGTTTCACAAAATCCTTCCCATAGCAGGGACACCAGATTTGAACGCAGTATTCCAAAAGTGGCCTAGCCGATGTCCTGTACAGCCACAACCTGACCTCCCAACCCTATGCTCAATGCACTGATCAATAAAGGCAAGCTTACCTAACACTAGCTTCACTATCCTATCTACCTGTTAACACACTTTCAAGGAACAATGGATCTGCACTCCAAGGTCCTTTTGTTTGGCAACATTCCCCACAACCTTACCCTTAAATGTATAAGTCCTGCCCTGATTTGCCTTTCCAAAATGTAGCACCTCTCATTTATCTAGATTAAACTCCATAAGCTGCTACACAGCCCATCGGCCCACCTGATTAATGTCCCGTTGTACTCTGAGGTAACCTTCTTTGCTGTCCACTACACCAACAATTCTGGTGTCATCTGCAAATTTCCCAACCATACCTCTTATATTTGCATCCAAATCAATTATATTGATGACAGAAAGCAAAGGACCCAGCACTGATCCCTGCGGTAAACTGCTGGTTACAGGCCTCCAGTCTGAAAAGCAACCCTCCATCACCACCCTCTGTTGTCTTCTTCTTCAAGCCAATATTGTATACAAATGGCTAGTTCTCTCTGTATTCCATGTGATCTAACCTTGTTAACCAGTCTCCCATGCCAGTGTGTTGCTAGGTGTGTAGACAATACATCCCAAAGATTGGCACATTGTATCAAACTGCACGGCCCTTTGGCTGTTCACAACAGGTAATGTATTGACTATTCCCAGCCTTATCGAACTCTTTACTGAAGTCCATTTAAACAATATTCAATGCTCTGTCTTCATCAATCCTTTTTGTCACTTCAAAAAACTCAATCAAGTTAGTGAGACACTATTTCCCATGCACAAAGTCATGTTGACTATCCCTAATTGGTCCTTGCCTCTCTAAATAGACGTAAATCCTGTCCCTCAGGATTTCCACCACTGATGTCAGGCTCACCTGTCTACAGTTCCCTGGCTTTTCCTTACCACCGTTCTTAAATAATGGCACTATGTTAGCCAACCTCTGGTCTTAGAGCACCTCACCCATGGCTATTGATGCTACAAATATCTCAGCAAGGGAGCAAACACTTCCCTAGATTCACACAAAATCCTAGGATACACCTGATCTGGCCCCAGGGTTCTTCCATCTGCTTGTTAAGGTAAAATTTAAAGATCCAATGAAGAATTTCAAGAAACCATCTCTTGGATTGGACAGAATCTCAATAGTTGTTTGGTACAATAGAATTTGAGTATTACTGAAAAAAAAATCACATTTTCTCAAAGCTTTTTATCTTGAGCTCATCAGAATAATTTACAAGAAATACCAAAGGAAAGAACAAACCACATTTACACTGTATGAAAGTTGAATGCTAGTTGATAAGCAAGTGGAGTCCGATTGATAGAAGTGTTACTGTGGAGAATGTGGTAGTTTAATGATGACTGGCAGTTAACTACCAAACTTTCTTTAAATATTAAACCAGGCTGATTATATCTGATGAAGACATTGTCCTGACAAATGAACCAGTGAATGACTGTCACTTATTTTGCTAATCTAAACAGTTTCAATTCATATGCATGTTATTTGTATATGCAAAGAGCATAATCCTATGCGTCAGAATATGGACCTTCCAGAATGCCCAAGGATGCCACATTGTGAGCCAAACTGACAATCCTAAATTGGTTGTCAGCATAACCCTTTGCAGATTCATGATTATTTAGCAAGAGTTGTCCAATCACAGAATCACACCCGATGTTAGACAGTCACATTTTGAGATTTGCAAGCAGCGGCTAATTGGGAATAGTCAATACATTACCTGTTGTGAACAGTCAAAGAGGCATGCTGTTTGATACAATCCGCCAATCTTTGGGATGTATGGTTTACATACCTAGCAACACACTGGCACTGAAATTCATAAAAGACATCACTCATTTGTGCAATAAATAGAACATCTTTCTGGCTTGACGGCAGCTTCCAGTTAGTGGCAAACACATTCATGTTGCTATGTGAATTTAGGTACTACTGCAAAGAGAAACAGACAACTAATCTGCTGAACCATTGCCATGGAGAAAGCAATGAGGAGATTTAGGCTCCCAAGGTGCCTGTGTATTCACAAAAAATGTAAAGTTTGAACATATACCTTTATTTGCAAAGAATGTGTCCCTGAATATGAATGGACATTGCTAATAAATTAATATTATGAGTTCAACTGATTAAATAAAACTGGTTGTTAATGTAGCTATTAGCACACGCTGGACTTTTATGAAATTCCTATCTAATCACAAAAGCCGATCTATGCTAAATGTTTTGTACTAGAATTGAGAGCGTGGGTTGTTTGAATTCAATGTCAATTTGGGGGCAAAAAGTGAAATAGAGAAGAAAGAATGGATTAATAGCAAGAAATAAAATATACAGAAATGAAATTTTTTTTAATGGTCCTCCAACAATAAAATCAGAAGGAATTATACTCCACCATTGTAAAATTTTATTTTCAGTGTCAGAGATGTGTTTGACTGTAATTAAGGCTTGCCATATTGTTAAGATTACTTATAACGAAATGAGCAAGTTCTAACTTTTTGTGTTGTGTTTTGATCATATATAACCAATGATAACATGATGCTATTTCAATGATGAGTCTGTCTGTTGGTTACTGATTTTCTCCAGCTTTTGGAAGAGCAGAGCACCTTGAACAGCAACATACAAATTTCTATATTAAACTGTGTGAAATCTGGATGTTTGAAATCTGGAATTTGTTGTCGGAAACCCACATAAATGACAGTGAACGCTGTTAGCCCTCGCTGCTACTTCTACTGAAAAAAAAACTGCCCATTTCTTCCATGCTAATATGTTTGCACATTCACAATTTCACAAATGGTAAACTATACAGTAACATATATTTTTTGGATTTAATAATCTTACAATGTTATCTTCATTGCTGCCAATAGGTAATCCAAATTTTTTTGTTTTTTCAGAATTCAGAACAGTGGGAATGGATGTTAGGGCAGTTGCATGCTCCTCCTGTAGAATGTGGGAGGTAAGGGTCACCACTAGTGTCCCCACTGACTTCATCTGCGGGAAGTGCATCCAACTCCAGTTCCTTGGAAACTGCATTAGGGAACTGGAGCTGCAGCTGGATGAACTTCGGATCATTCGGGAGGCTGAGGGGGTAATTGAGAGGAGTTACAGGGAGGTAGTCACACCTCAGGTACAGGAAAAAGGTAGATGGGTTACAGTCAGGGGATGGAAAGGGAACAGGCAGACAGTGCAGGGATCCCCTGTGGCTGTTCCCCTCAATAACAAGTATACCGTTTTGGATACTGTTGGGGGGGACGACTTACCAGGGGTAAGCCATGGGGTACAGGTCTCTGGCACAGAGTCTGTCCCTGTTGCTCAGAAGGGAAGGGGGGAGAGGAGGAGAGCATTAGTCATTGGGGACTCCATAGTTAGGGGGACAGATAGGAGATTCTGTGGGAACGAGAGAGACTCGCAGTTGGTGTGTTGCCTCCCAGGTGCCAGGGTCCGTGATGTCTCGGATCGTGTTTTCGGGACCCTTAAGGGGGAGGGGGAGCAGCCCCAAGTCGTGGTCCACATAGGCACCAACGACATAGGTAGGAAAAGGGATGGGGATGTGAGGCAGAAATTCAAGGAGCTAGGGTGGAAGCTTAGAGCTAGAACAAACAGAGTTGTTATCTCTGGTTTGTTACCCGTGCCACGTGCTAGCGAGGTGAGGAATAGGGAGAGAGAGCAGTTGAACACGTGGCTACAGGGATGGTGCAGGAGGGAGGGATTCAGATACCTGGATAATTGGGGCTCATTCTGGGGTAGGTGGGACCTCTACAAACGGGATGGTCTACACCTGAACCAGAGGGGTACCAATATTCTGGGGGAGAAATTTGCTAATGCTCTTCGGGAGGGTTTAAACTAATTCAGCAGGGGCATGGGAACCTGAATTGTAGCTCCAGTGTACAGGAGGTTGAGAGTAGTGAGGTCATGAACAAGGTTTCAAGGTTGCAGGAGGGTACCGGCAGGCAGGAAGGTGGTTTGAAGTGTGTCTACGTCAACGCCAGGAGCATCCGGAATAAGGTGGGTGAACTTGCAGCATGGGTTGGTACCTGGGACTTCGATGTTGTGGCCATTTCGGATAGAGCAGGGACAGGAATGGTTGTTGCAGGTTCCGGGATTTAGATTTTTCAGTAAGATCAGGGAAGGTGGTAAAAGAGGGGGAGGTGTGGCATTGTTAGTCAAGGACAGTATTACAGTGGCAGAAAGGATGTTTGATGAGGACTCGTCTACTGGGGTAGTATGGGCTGAGGTTAGAATCAGGAAAGGAGAGGTCACCCTGTTGGGAGTTTTCTAGAGGCCTCCGAAAAGTTCCAGAGATGTAGAGGAAAGGATTGCAAAGATGATTCTGGACAGGAGCGAAAGTAACAGAGTAGTTGTTATGGGGTCTTTAACTTTCCAAATATTGACTGGAAACGCTACAGTTCGAGTACTTTAGATGGGTCAGTTTTTGTCCAATGTGTGCAGGAGGGTTTCATGACACAGTATGTAGATAGGCCAACAAGAGGCGAGGCCACATTGGATTTGGTACTGGGTAATGAACCAGGCCAGGTGTTAGATTTGGAGGTAGGTGAGCACTTTGGTGATAGTGACCACAATTCGGTTACGTTTACTTTAGCGATGGAAAGGGATAGGTATATACCGCAGGGCAAGAGTTATAGCTGGGGGAAAGGCAATTATGAGGCGATTAGGCAAGATTTAGGATGCATAGGATGGAGAAGGAAACTGCAGGGGCTGGGCACAATTGAAATGTGGAGTTTGTTCAAGGAACAGCTACTGCCAGCCAGGGAAGAAGTGGTCGAGCGAGGGAACCATGGTTTACTAAAGAAGTTGAATCTCTTGTCAAGAGGAAGAAGGATGCTTATGTAAAGATGAGGCGTGAAGGCTCAGTTAGGATGCTTGAGAGTTACAAGTTAGCCAGGAAGGACCTAAAGAGAGAGCTAAGAAGAGCCAGGAGGGGACATGAGAAGTCTTTAGCAGGTAGGATCAAGGAAAACCCTAAAGCTTTCTATAGGTATGTCAGGAATAAAAGAATGACCAGAGTAAGATTAGGGCCAGTCAAGGACAGTAGTGGGAAGTTGTGCGTGGAGTCCGAAGAGATAGGAGAGGTGCTAAATGAATATTTTTCGTCAGTATTCACACAGGAAAAAGACAATGTTGTCGAGGAGAATACTGAGATACAGGCTATTAACTAGACGGGATTGAGGTTCATAAGGAGGAGGTGTTTGCAATTCTGGAAAGTGTGAAAATAGATAAGTCCCCTGGGCCAGATGGGATTTATCCTAGGATTCTCTGGGAAGCTAGGGAGGAGATTGCAGAGCCTTTGGCTTTGATCTTTTATTCATCATTGTCTACAGGAATAGTGCCAGAAGACTGGAGGATAGAAAATGTTGTTCCCTTGTTCAAGAAGGGGAGTAGAGACAACCCTGGTAATTATAGACCAGTGAGCCTTACTTCAGTTGTGGGTAAATTGTTGGAAAGGATTATAAGAGATAGGATTTATAATCATCTAGAAAGGAATAACTTGATTAGGGATAGACAACACGGTTTTGTGAAGTGTAGGTCGTGCCTCACAAACCTTATTGAGTTCTTTGAGGTGACCAAACAGGTGGATGAGGGTAAAGCGGTTGATGTGGTGTATATGGATTTCAGTAAAGCGTTTGATAAGGTTCCCCACAGTAGGCTATTGCAGAAAATACGGAGGCATGGGATTGAGGGTGATTTAGCGGTTTGGATCAAAAATTGGCTAGCTGTAAGAAGACAGAGGGTGGTGGTTAATGGGAAATGTTCATCCTGGAGTTCAGTTACTAGTGGTGTACCTCAAGGATCTGTTTTGGGGCCACTGCTGTTTGTCATTTTTATAAATGACCTGGATGAGGGCGTAGAAGGATGGGTTAGTAAATTTGCGGATGACACTAAAGTCGGTGGAGTTGTGGATAGTGTGGAAGGATGTTGCAGGTTACAGAGGGACATAGATAAGCTGCAGAGCTGGGCTGAGAGGTGGCAAATGGAATTTAATGCGGAAAAGTGTGAGGTGATTCACTTTGGAAGGAGTAACAGGAATACAGAGTACTGGGCTAATGCTAAGATTCTTGGTTGTGTAGATGAGCAGAGAGATCTTGGTATTCCACGTGCATCGATCCCTGAAAGTTGCCACCCAGGTTGATAGGGTCGTTAAGAAGGCGTACGGTGTGTTAGGTTTTATTGGTAGAGGGATTGAGTTTTGGAGCCATGAGGTCATGTTGCAGTTGTACAAAACTCTGGTGCAGCCGCACTTGGAGTATTGCGTACAGTTCTGGTTGCCGCATTATAGGAAGGATGTGGAAACATTGGAAAGGGTGCAGAGGAGATTTACCAGGATGTTGCCTGGTATGGAGGGAAGGTCTTATGAGGAAAGGCTGAGGGACTTGAGGCTGTTTTTGTTAGAGAGAAGAAGGTTAAGAGGTGACTTAATAGAGACATACAAGATGATGAGAGGATTAGATAGGGTGGACAGTGGGAGCCTTTTTCCTCGGATGGTGATGGCTAGCACGAGGGGACATAGCTTTAAATTGAGTGGTGATAGATATAGGACGGATGTCAGAGGTAGGTTCTTTACTCAGGGAGTAGTAAAGGCGTGGAATGCCCTGCCTGCAACAGTAGTAGACTCGCCAACTTTAAGGGCATTTAAATGGTCATTGGATAAACATATGGATGATAATGGAATAGTGTAGGTTAGATGGGCTTCAGATTGGTTTCACAGGTCAGCGCAACATCGAGGGCCGAAGGGCCTGTACTGCGCTGTAATGTTCTATGTTCTATGTTCTAATGATATATAAAGCCACTGCATTTTTTTTTCTTTTTGTTTTGAGGTTTTTGTATTCATTAAAGGAAGTTAATTAGAGCTAGAAATCTACAGCATTTATTACTCCCTAATGCCAACATCAATTTCTCATACCAGAGGTACAAAGTTTTGCCCCACAGGTATCCAAATTCAAACTTCTTGAATCAGGAAGTTTTTTTTAACTTCATATTTGCAATGTTTTGAATTTGTGTAAACTTGCCAAATTTAATGTCACTCTACCCTGCATAAAGAATAACTCTGTGCAAAGGGCTGATGTAAGCTACGACCAACCATTATAGTCAGCAAGGAGAGAAGTTCTTTTTGTCCTTTGGTTTGAGCTGAAACGGACTCAGTATTCTAACCTATTGTACCATGAAATCACTGGCAAAGTACATTTCTTAAAAGAATGCTTTATATAAGTTTTCCATGAAAAGGCACTGATTCCAAACATTTAAATTATGAACAGAATATTTTCAGTTGTTGATACCACCTTGTATTCTCCTTGTACATTATTGTTTTAAATAAGCAATACAAAACTGGAATGAATGGCAGACAAGTGGAAGAATAGTCAAAATATCTCTTTTATTTTGTTTGTCGCTTATCATACGGAAGTTGTTCCCATGGTGTCAAGTATAAAGTATATAAAATATATTTCCTTTGAATTATTATTTGTTTGAACCACAGAGGTTTTAAATATTGCATAATAACTTATTTTAAATATTCAGACAAGAAGTCCTCCGTAGGAATTTCACTTTAGATGCCATATCGTTTTTAAATCTGACACCGGCAGCAGTTATCACAGTACAAAGACCACTAATTCATTAGATTTAAAAGCAAAAGTGCAAAAATATCATTATACTTCAAGAAATGTAGATTCACAGTCTTAGTAAATAAATACGTATTAATTTTAAATATTATAAATAACAAACTGCATTATGAATTTCAGTTTCACAGAACTTAACTAAAACTTTGTTCTGAATATCGAACAACATTGTCGTCTACTACAAAAGCAGATCTCATGCAAGAACTTCTATGAACTAAAACGTTCATACAATTTTACTATTGCTGCATGATAAAGGAACAGCTATAGGGAGTCAATTCATGAATCGAATGGCTCGAACAGTACTTTCCATGAAGAGTGCAAAGTTTCTAAGAATCACGTGAATTTTCAGTTGCTTGTCCCAGACACTATTAGGAAGTTTGTCTGGAGTAAAAATCTCCTTGTGCTGGTGAGTAATATTTTCTTGAACCTTGTTCTAGAAAGCAGAGATAACCAATATCAATTTAGTTGCTAGTCTAAGAATATGGTGCAACAAAATAAAACACAACCATTCTGGCATCAAAGATTCACTGACACTGTGATAATGGCAAACTGAGAATTGAAGGAAATTACAAACTCTTTGTCTGACTCCCATCACAGAGCCCTTACATGGAAGCTGGCCATTTGGCCCATCAAGTCCAGACCAAACCCCTCTGCATTATTCTTGTAACCCTGCATATCCCATAGCTACTCCATCTAGCCTGCACACTATGGGCAATTTAGCTCGGCCAATTCACCTAAGCTGCACATCTTTGGACTGTGGGAGGAAACCCATGTAGACATGGGGGAAGCGTGTAAACTCCACACAGATAGTCACCCAAGGGTAGGATTGAACCCAGGTACCCAGGTCCCTGATGCTGTGAGGTAGCAGTGTCAACCACTGAGCCACTCTGCTGTCCCATTGCTTCAAGTATTGCATCTAGCAAGATTTCCAAGGCTTGCTCACCCAATGAAAAAGTGTCCCTCTACTTAGCCAACCTCATAATAGACCCTTTAATATGGCAAGGAACTGGCTTGATTTACATTGACTGCTGATTTATAATGCTTGTTAATACTCATAATGGCACGCAGCCGAAGATATTGCTAAGGATAGTACTAAAACATTTGTGTGAACTGAAATATAATTTTTGAAGTACAGATTGACTATTTGTCTACAAGCTGAGCGTTATATTGTGGATCTGTGCAAGATCTGAGGGCAAACCTTTGGAATTCAATGATTGCCTTAAGTCAATATCCTAAGTTTCTAACTAATTATGATTAAAACAATGAACCAGTTGAAAATCTATTTTCTATGTAAGAGATCATTTCTGATTGCTTGCCTACATATTTGAGTGGGGAATAGTATTCAGTGAGTTGGTCAATTGCATTGAAATGATTCTCGACATGTGTTACTTGCAAAACAAAGTTGGAAAATCCAATTTTCCAGTTTAAAGTATTTACTTTTGAGACTTGACAGCTACTTCTACAATTGAACACTCTTGGCAGGGAATGCTATTTACAGAGGGGGAATTAGCTGGAAAATTGTGATCCATCAATGTTTGCTTTTCTGTACATTTCAATAAGTTTACACAAAAGCAGGTCTACCATTTTCCTGACAGCAGTTTTAGTGAATGCTGGCTGCTGAATTTAACACTTTTGAGCTCATCTCCTAAGTGATACCTATTCACTTGACTGCTTAATCAAATTTAGCCCTGTAAGACTTTTTAAGACCGAAGAGCACTTTGTATGACCAAATTTCCAAACTGCAGTGCATTAATGAAGCTATTAACTACAGGATATATTTATTCAGATATAGCTTCAAGCAGAATCAATTCATTTGTGTTCTTGTCCATTAATCCTTCTTTAGTGATTACAGTTCCTACATGAATATTGGCTATAAAGACTAGAAAATTTGCTGCAGAAATGTAATTTGTCTTATCTACTGATTTGTGGTTATCTATTTGATATTCTTGCTTAGCAATATATCACACACTTTAAACAGCGATTACCTGGAAAGTGAGCAAATCAGCCAGATTTTTCATGCTGACGAGCAATAAATCCACTTGCTGCGTTTCATCTTGAATCCATTCATTCACAACTAATAAATGTTTTTTGTATTCGTCAAGGCCCTTGACAATCTCTACCAAACATTTTTTCTACAAAAAAAACACAAAGCATTCTAATGTTTTTGAGCACCGTCAACAACGTTATTATTATATCTTGGAGAAATCTATACATTCAAATCTGAGCAAAATTTACAAAAGGAGCTACCAACACATGAAAGGAATCTCTACTTCGCTGCTGGTCTAGTACATTTCTACAAAAAGGGAAACACACAAAGCGTACCATTGGTTGCTACAAGGAAAATGTAGGAAATTTATTTGACAGTTTTAAAAGGAAACAATGACCCTGCATTTCAATAGTGTTTTCAGAACCTCAAGCCATTCCTAAACATTAATGCCAGTTAAAAGCATCTTAAAAATCATCTTATTATAATGTAGGGAAAAACAGCAGCTAACTTATGCACAGAAAAGGCCTGGAAACAGCAATGAGATTGTGGCTTGGTAGTATTTTTTTAGTGATGTTTGTTCATACATTCCAGAAACATATTCAAGAAATACTTGAACTAAAAAAATAATTACTATCTTTCAGGATGTGGAACGAAGCTGGGGTAAACTGTTACTGACATCACTAAATGTTAATTCCCTAGCAATTCCCAAACATTAGTGACCTGACAGGTTAATTCTGTCTCTCTCCACAGATGCAGCATGACCTGCTGAGCATTTCCAATTCTTTTTATACTTTGAATGTGGTTTCAAAGATAAAGGCTTTGCTACAGTAAGATAGAAAATTTTGTTTTTCAGTATCAAATGACAGACTCAAAAATATTGTGGAGAGTTGCAACAGGTAAGTGATTTCCCATAATGTAATTGATATTCCCATAAACCTAGTTCAAATTATAGCAAAGAATTGACAAATTAAACTTTTGCAACATAGTAATTGCTTAGCATAACATTAGAAATGTTTAAGTTGGACAATCTATATTTATGAATATATTAAGGTTATTTTACTTGAGGTAGAAGTTTCTTGTAGTGCAGTGAAATGGTTTGGTGCTAACTGGTTGTCTGTAAGATAATCAATGAATAATGTAATATCATGAATAAAATGGCTAGCACGGAGCCCGCATTTTTGATTTATTTTGACTGTTGCTCAGGATCACAAAAATTGGTATTTGTTTTTAATCAACACTATCTAATCAACACCAACGTGCTCCATAATACAAGCTGAGGGGCTGGGTTCACTAAACTGCAGTGTCACAATCCCAATATTGGCAAGAGAACATACTCACATTTCACATTAGCAGCATCAATTAAAAATGAGGCCATAAGTGTATCATGGGAGTAAGTTGGCATAAAGTGTAGCCTAACAAATATATAGCAAGTTTTATAGGAGCAGAATGTGCATGCAGAAGTACATTTGTAAAATATTTTTAGACATTATCACCCACTCAACTGCCAGGATCTGGTTGAAGATTTCATGCAGTGAGTTTCTGAAGTTTAATATATCCTACGCCCATCTCATATACACAAAAACTACTTATCTAACTACTAACAACACCTTCAGTAATTTACTGGTTGAATTAAAAGGGCAAAATAAATGTAATCACAGGGCAGTATAGCTAAAAGCAGGTGCTTTTCAGAAGTATTATTACACAACTCTGAAGCAAGTGGGACTTGAATACAGGACGCCTACTCCAGAGGTAGGGATGCTATCAGTGTACCGCAAGAATCCTCGCATACTTGAGTATGGCTCCTAAAGAGAGAAAGGATGTACTGGCACTGGAGGGGGTGCAAAGGAGGTTCACTAGGTTGATTCCGGAGTTGAGGGGGTTGGCTTATGAGGAGAGACTGAGTAGATTGGGATTATATTCATTGGAATTCAGAAGATTGAGAGGGGATCTTATAGAAACATATAAAATTATGAAGGGATTAGATAAGATAGAAGTAGAGAGGATGTTTCCACTGGCAGATGAAGCTAGGACAAGAGGGCATAGCCTCAAGATTAGAGGGAGCAGATTTAGGACTGAACTGAGAAGGAATTTCTTCACCCAGAGGGTTGTTAATCTATGGAATTCCTTGCCCAGTGAAGTAGTTGATGCTACTTCAGTAAATGTTTTTAAAAAAAAGGTAGATTTTTTTTGAACAATAAAGGAATTAAGGGATACAGTGAGAACGTGGGTAAGTGGATCTGAGTCCACGAAAGGATCAGCCATGATCTTATTGAATGGCGGAGCAGGCTCGAAGGGCCAGACGGCCTACTCCTGCTCCTAGTTCTTATGTTCTTATGTTCTAAAGTAAATAAGATCACTTACACTGCTTAATGACCCAAGCACGGATACATATCCAATGTATATAGGGACACCTCTAGAACATCACTAATAATGAATCATTGCACTGAAATTTACCACATGAAGGAACATGATTTCTGACAACTTTCGATATGAGGTGAAAATATCTTACTTTTTGGAAGGCCCTCCTGAAACACCTGTCTCTCTTCACCAATTGGGGCAGCTGCATGTTGTGCATCTGCAGTGAACTCATGTCCCCGTCACACAAGAAGAAAAAGCCACACAACTAGAAAAGAAGCCACACTTATTACAATACTGCTAGGATGAAAACAGAAAGGTTCTATTCGTGAATCTAACAATGTCTAATGAATTAGTATCATCCATTTCCTCTCGCAGAGGGCACGACTGAGGTCATTTAGAAGGTTTTTTTAAAAAAAATATTTATCTACACTTCTTTAAGTTGTTCTGGCTAGTCTCACCTGCCGGTCGCGCAGTTGCACAGCAACACTCCAGATGAAAAGAGCCAAAGGTTCAAGATTCATATTTCCAGCACTGGGGGGAGTTCCAGTTGTATAAACGTCTGCAGAGTCTCCGGAAGATTCGGGGAGCGAAGTGACAGCAACTGGAGACATCCAGGCGCCTGTTACCCCCATCACCAAGAGTAGGACAGAACGGCAGAGATCTAGAAGAGAGAGAGAGAGATGGAGAAAACAAGGACAGTCAGTAGCGGTTCTCCCCGGAGACAGGGACCACGGGCAGAGCTCAGAGAGCAGCAGTTTGTACTAACATTGCAGCGAGGACATGCTGAGGGTCGCAAGACTGGTCTCCCGGATCCTGATGTGTGGAGCTGTCTTGGACTCGAGTGCTCAGACCTTTGGTATCATCACGGCACTCGGCCGTGTATTTATTGCCAAGGGTAACTTTCCTGGATTCCCCAATGGAAACCCCAATAACTTGTTTTGAAATCCGCGACTTTACTTCCTCCTAAGAGGAATATCCAGAGAAGGGGAAAGAGTGTCATCTTTTTTAAGAAACTGCAAGTTTGTAAATATTTTCTGTCGAGTGAAACTGCAGAAAATATAGAACAGTCAATCAGTGAGCGTGAACTGTGTTGACAGGGCTGCCACAGTTAAGGGGGAGAAAAAAGGATTGTCAAATACTAAAATTTACAAATATTTTAACAAGGTGCTAAATGAAAGCTGTTTAACACAATAATCTCCTCTAGTTATTTCTCTCATCCCTTTTGCTTCTCTCTCTCTTTTCCTCAAAAAATGAAGATAAATCTTTAATGTTATTGGCATCTCTCTTTCTGGAAGTTAAACCTGGGCACAGGTACGGAAAACTACGCTTCAACCACCTAAAAGATTTACACAATGCAGAGTAATGCTTTTCCCTGCAGTTAATCTTCAGCACATTTTATACTTTCCATTTATAACCAGGTTTTACTAGGTGTGGGGGTGCCAGAACTAAAATCAATGATGCAAAAGGTAGGCTCTTCATCAATGTGCCATCAATGATCAAAGAGTCATACAGTATGGGAACAGACCCTTCGGTTCAACCAGTCCACGCAGAACATAATCCGAAACTAAACTAGTCCGACCTGCCTGCTCCTGGCCCATATCCCTCCAAACCTTTTCTATTCATGTATTTATCTAAGTATCTTTTAAACATTGTAATGTGCCCGCATCCACCACTTCCTCAGGAAGTTCATTCCACACGTGAACCACCTTCTGTGTAAAAGAAAAATGCCCCCCTCTTGTTTAAATGTCTCTCCTCTCACTTTAAGTATGTGCCCCCTAGTCTTGAAATCTCCCATCCTAGGGAAAAGACACCTACCATTAACTGTACCTATACCCCTCATGATTTTATAAACCTCCTACACTCCAGTGAAAAAGTCCCAGCCAATCCAGTCTTTCTTTATAACTTAAACATTGCATACCCAGCAACATCCTGGTAAATCTCTTCTGAACCCTCTATACCTTAATAATATCTTCCTATAACTGGGTGACCAGAACTGGACACACTATTTCAGAAGCAGCCCCACGAATGTCCCGTACAACCTCAATATGACTTCCCAACTCCTTTAGTCAAAGAATAAAAAATGGAAAATGCAGGAGAAAAAGATCTGGGAGCATATGTGGAGAGGGTGTCTTTTGAGTCTAATATGACTTCTTTCGAACTCTATTGTTTTTATTTCTGATTTCCAAAATCCTTCGCTTTTATCTGTGATGATCAAACGGACTGCAGTAATTCAAGAAGGCAGCTCATTACCAGCTTCTCAAGGGCAAATAGAGACAAGCAATAGAGGCAAGTAGAGACAGGCAATAAATGCTGGCCCAGCTGGCGATGCCTACATCCCACAAGAGAATGAAAAAAAAACCTGTACAATTTCATCACTTACAAACGCTAATATCAGGCTGCACCATTCAGAGGCCAAAACAATTGTACAAGTTTCTGTGCATGCCTGCTTTAAAGAATTATGGCATTTTCCAGGACAATGTCAAATTCTATAATTCTTACAGAAAGATCAATGAAATATTTCAAAATTGCATGGTGCATGTTGATTAAAGCCTTCTGGATTTTGTTTTTGTGCTGAAAGAATGCAGTGATTTCCAATCAGCAATTCTTGAAATCATCAAGTTCAGATTTACTCAGATGACATCTAACAAGGCTCTCTGAAAATTATTGGCTTAAATGCAACTGTGTAAAATTGGAGACAACTGAATCGAAATTGGTAAAGATGTTGGGGGCAGACACAGGAAAAAAAAGAGATGCTCCTAAATTAGCACGCAGTGACAAATGATGACAAATGTACCAATGGAAATGGTGAGGAGATCTGAACTGTTCACTAGATGACCTGGGTGTGCAAACAATGGGAACTGTATTCGTATTCGGGGCCATACAGTGGGCCAGTGAGATTGTATAAAGCTAGCCAGTATGTTCAGTTGAACTGCTATTTATTCTTCTTAGAATGGAAAATTGCAGGATTCCCAGCAGTAGTAAAAATGTAACTGGAATAGCTGTAGTGATGTTGTTGTCCTAAAACTTCAATGTTTGTGTGTATATTTGATAACAACCCAATATTCTTACTCACATCCATTTTAGTTTTGTACAAAACTAATTAATCAAAAGATAGTCTTTGTATGAAAAGTGAGATAAGGGATAGAAACATTGCAGATAGGAGCAGTAGTAGGCTATTTGGCCCATCAAAACCACTCCACCATTCAACATAATCATGGTTAGCATTTTATCTCAACATCATACTCACATGCTTTCCCCACACTCATTGACACTTCTGGCTTTTATAAACCTATCAGTTTCTTTCTCAAGTACTGATTTCGCCTCTACAGCCTTCTATGGTAGAGAATTCCAAAGTTTTACCACCTCCTGAGAGCAGAAATTTCTCCTCATCTTAGCCTGAAAGCACCTATCGCATATCCTGAACTGTGAGCACTTGTTCTTGACTTCCCAGCCAGAGGAAACGTTATCCCTATTTCCAGTCTGACCAGCCCTGTCAGACCTCTGCATGGTTCGATGAAACCCACTCCCATTCTCCTGAACTTCAATAAATACAGGCCCAGTTAACCTAATCTGTCCACATACGACAAACCTGCTGTCCCAGTAATTGGTCTGATGAACATTCACTGTAAGTGCATTGCTCTCTGTGGAAAGTATATCTATCCTTTTTAGAAGACCAAAACTGCACACAGTACTCCAGATGTGGTCTCACAAACATCACACAGAGCTGTAATAAGAAGAGTGCCTTGCTCCTGTACTCAAAACTTCTTGCAATGAAAGCCAACATGCCATTTTCCTTCCTAATGGCTTGCTGCACCTGCATGCTTACTTTCAATGACTGGTGTACAAGAATACCCAAGTACCTTTGTGTATCCACCTTTTCCAATCTATCATATTTAAATAATACTCTGCCATTCTGATTTTCCTACTGAAGTGAACAACATCACTTCTATCCACATTTTGTGGCATCTGCCATGTTTTTGTTCACTCACTCAACTTGTCCAAATTTTCCCGCAGACTCCTTACATCTTCTTCACCATTCACACTCCTATTTATTTTGTGCCATAAGCAAACTTTGAAATATTGCACTTTATTCTCTCATTCAAACTGTTTATATTATGAACAGCACTGATCCCTGTGATACAAAACCCGTCATTACATTCCACTCTGAAACTCATCCATTTTTTCCTCATCTCTGTTTCCTGTTTGCCAACCAATTCCTAATAGATGCAGTATATAGCCACAAAATTATGTACTTTGATTTTGCACAATAACCTCTTCTGTGGGATTGATACCTCTACAAATGAATTAGATTATTTTTTTGCTCCATTAAAACAAGATATAACTGTATATAGCACATCTACTGAATGTCAGAATTGAATCATATCAAAAAGTTAATATGTTAAAGTGATGGTACTTCTGTTCATCTACGTAAGTAACATAGTTGTACCTTGTACTGTAGCGTATTGTGTTGGTAGCAATGTGATTAAAGATAAGTTATTTTTCTGATCCTGATTAATTGGTGTCAGAAGTCATAAGAATCCATCTTTAGGTGAATTTTATATGAAGCAAAGATGTACTTCACAATACATAGCACTAGTCAGATTTTATTTAGATATTAATTTTGATGGGCACCTTAGGAATGATATTTATTTAGTAAGGATTTATCTGGTCACCCTGCTATAGGAAGGATGTCATTAAGCTGAAAAGGGTGCACAAAAGATATATAAGGATGTTACTGAGACTGGATCGTTTGAGTTATTAGGAGAGGATAGATAGGCTGGAACATCTTTCCCTTGAGCGTAAAAGGCTGAGGGGTGACTTTATTGAGGTTTACAAAATGATGTGAGTCAGAGGTAAGGTGAACAGCCAAAGTGTTTTACACAGGGTAGGGAGTCCAAAACTAGAGGGCACATGTTTACAGTTAGAATGGAAAGATTTAAAAGGGACCCAAGGGGCAACTTTTTCACATAGAGAGTGGTGCGTGTATGGAACAAACTGCCAAGGAAAAGTGGTTAAATTGAGTACTATTACAACATGTAAGAGACATTTGGGCAGGTGCAGGTTTAGTGGTATATGGACCAAACACAGGCAAGTGGGACTAGTTCAGTTTAGGAAACCTGGTTGGCATGGACAAGTTGGACTGAAGGATCTCTTTCTGTGCTGTATGACTCTATGACACTATTAAAATTTCAATTGCATAATGCCTTCCATAAACTCTGTATGTTCTAAAGGGGTTTACAGACAGTAGACAACTTTTCGATGCATGGTCATGGTGATAATGTAGGAAATGTAGTAGCTAGTAAATGGCAATGCCATAGTAACCAGATCATCCGTTCTTAAAATGTTGATTGACGACACCCTCACGTAACTCCCAACTTTTTAAAAATTTCTACCTGAGTGGGAAGTTGGTGCCTCAGTTTAACATTTCATCTGAAAGACAACCACCTACAACAGTGAAACTGTACCTCAGTACTGTACTGCAGTGCTAATCTTGATTTTTGCACTCAACTTGAAGCGGAACTTGAGTCCAAAATTTTCTGAATCTGAGATAGGAGTGTTACTAACATGGCTGAAAGGCCTTTGAAAATACTTGGTAAACTTACATTGCAGTTTTGAAAAATAAAGAAGTTAT